ATATACATGTATGTTGCAAATTATGAAGAATCTCATTAAAGTATTTTGTTCCTTCCGCTTACTTGATCCGGTTAGCGTTTCCTTCTACACGCCAATCCTTAGCAACCTCAATTTACGCGATCTGCAGTACAAAAATCTCAATTCGGTTAGGTCTGTAGGCTGTGTTGTATCGTATTGCTGTGGTTGTATATCACTCTGAAACAAGAAGTTCTTGGAAGAACTCATCGGCTGCTTTCCTTTGATATCACAGGGACCACATACAAAACGAAACATTAAGGGGGGACACAAACAGCAAGATGATCTCATAAGGATCCTAACAAAAATTAGGGGTGGAGGTAGTCAGCAAGGTGATCTTATAAGCCTAAAAAATCAAGGGGATTAACATATAGATGGACAGACACAGAAAGTTGCACAGACAGACAGCAGTGTGATCTCATAAGCCTCGTATTATTTTTTTTTAAATGAGGAACGTAGGCTACAAAGGCAAGCCGATCTACTGGCTGACACACTGACTTACTTCATGAGACGTTTCGGCTTGAGATTGTGATGTCGCTCAGCTGTCAAGGAGTTTGCCGCCTTTAATGAAACCTAAATGTTCATTTTCTTATTCTCAAGCTCCTGTCACGCGCCCCTATCCTGATGGAGTTGAATCCAGTACACCCCCTCACACCCTGTATCCTTTAAGATTCGCGGTAATAGTTTCCTCTCACGCAGGCCGCTGTAGCATATAAATGCCTGGTTAGAATATGTGTCGGGGCGCTAACTATCCTAACTGAGCTTTTCCTGGGTTTCCTCAGTTCGGCCAAACAAATGCCGGGATAGTGGCTCAAGTAGGGTACAACCGCTTCCTTCCACGTCATTTTCATTTCATTGTTTGTGCCGCGCCTGTAGACTAATGTTCTGAAGTTATCCCTGTGCTTAATAATGTAACTGAGCACTGTCGTGGGACGAACATTTGCCTCGGCACTAGAGGGAGGTGATTTGACAGCTTCACACCCTGTCACTTTGCCCCCAGGGAAACAGCCCCCTGGTATCAATTGGATAGGGAACTGAGCTCCTGACAGGGTCATTAAAGAACGCCCCCCCCCACCCCCACACACACACATACATGTCTAGTGGTCCTTCCCTTTCAGGTTTCCCCACAAAAATTTTGTATTTTCTCAGCGCGTTCATATCTTCATCCTCTTGATCACCGTAACAGTATTACACGAACAGTACAGATTATGAATCCACTCATTACCCCCTCCTCTTCTACTTGCTCCTCCTCCTCGCTGTCCTGGCCTCACACATTCTCGAAAATTTCGTTCTGCTGTTAATTCTTTGCGTGTATACAGATCCCTTGATTCACGTGAGAAAGAGCCGGTTCTCAAACCGACAAAAAATGGATCGTAAGGCGCAGCACACTGCCACACGCCCCGCCATCTATTGCCTTGTTCCGAAAACTATGGGAACTTCGGCTTTAGAACCCTTTAGCGCTTTGGTATGAAGTGTGAATGCTTGTTACAAAAACGCGCCTTGATGCATCATCAGTATACACGTTCCTCCAAATGAACCTCTTCTAAATAATTATTTTACCTACCCCCCTGTAGAGGTGTGGAATTTTCGTAGTCGAGCCCAATGATCGCAACGTTGTAGGCCGCTCAAACACAGGAGTCGCCGGGACGAGTTCCTCTCGCATCTCTCTGTGCTGGTAGGTTCCTTCCTTGATTAGATTCCATCCGGGGAATTCAGCATCTTCTCTTAATTACGATTGGTAGAGAAGATTATGGCCCGAATCGCCCTTAACGTCAGACAATGAGAATAAAAGGGATTTTAATACGAAAATCTAAAACGGATTTCTCGACACATCAGACCTCTAGATTCTAGTATTTGGCTTATTTGTGAGCTGGAAATGATCACTTATTTCACTTAACCTTTGTTAATTTTTTAAAGACCTGTTCATTTTAACATTAAGTGTACGATAATTATTAACTGGTGTAATTCAAGGAATTAAATTCTATAGCTGTTTGTGGGGAGATACTATTTTGAGAAATCAAAAACAAAAAAGAAAAAATCCGTGGTTTTAGTCTGCAAGCGAACTATACCGACCGAGTGACAGCCACTTGTCGGCGAAGTTAGTGCCGGCCTCTGTGGTCTAGTGGTCAGAGTTTCTGGTTACAGATCCAGAGGTCCGGGTTCGATTCTCGGCGCTACCAGATTTTATGAGAAGCAGTGGGTCCGGAACGGGGTTCACTCAGCCTCGTGAGGATAATTGAGGAGCTATTTCAAGTAAACAGCAGCTGCGGTCTAGAAAACCGAAATTAACGGCCGTGGGAATTCTTTGCACTGGCCACGCGACATCCTGTATCCTCTAAAGTTGGCACTAAAGTTGACTATTTTGAGAGGCGTCAGAAATTGACTGACGGCTGAAGCGTGGTTTACGATGAAGGCTGCCAAGTACAATCAGTGGCCATGACAAGGCAGAGATTGCAAACTAATTGCTGCTCTTGTCTACGCTATTCTTGGAAAAAAAAAAACACAATCTAAGACGCTAAAGCGTCGCTCTTCAGCATTAGCGTGTTATCCCCCCTCCCCCCAGTTCCACGGCCAGGAAGTGTTTTGTTTAGAAAATGAGTAGACAGAGATGTTAACCCGGTTCTCCTCTCAGTAGATGCAGCCTGTAATATCACGCCCCTGTTAGCATGTTTATCCCCATAAAAATTGAATTAGTTAACGGATCTGTGGATGCCATGTCATTGTAAGCAACTCCATGTGTTTGTTTGCTATTCTAATATGTGCAACCTTCGTTAAGTCATACTTATACAATACAATAACGTACCGTGCCGTCAGCGCAACAACTTTCACTTTTATATCTGTAAATTATTATTAATGGAATTTTGTGTGGCCATGACTTCGTGCCTAGAAATGTTGTATGAAACATTTTTGTGGTGATGGAACGAAACTGTAATATTTTCTAACAATTTTCCGTTACGGGAAATCTGTACTAGTGGGCATTGTACGCACCCCACTCATTGCAGGTGGGAATACTTTGAAATTAGGCATCTTAAGATTTGTCCAGAACCTCTTATTCCAGTTTAATCTCGAAATGAAACTAGGATGTTGGTATTCCTCGTCGTCCTTAACCATTCAAAGCTGCTTTAGCTTCCTGATATTCAGATTTCAGTCGGCAGAAAATATTTCTGTATTCCTTATGGTTCTCAAAATAAACTGTGATTGTTTCCCTAAACAACATTAACCGTAAGATCTTTGTAGTGGAGACGTAATATGTTTCCTATGAGGTACGCACTGAATCTTTGTATAATGCTTGGAAGAAAACTCAGTTTTAAAGGGTTAAGCTGTCAAAAAACTCTTCAGGTGTATAATGTGACATGCAGAACCGTTGCTAGGAAACGAGTTGAGAAACATGTTTCCACGGAGATATGATTCTTGGAAACAAACTATCCCTGTGTTTTAAACAAACGTTTTCAAGGATACGAGTAATCAGCAAAAGTTTCCTTGGATACCGATACGATGTATAAGAGGCCCTTCAGGTTAGAATAAACTCAGTCGTAAATCAGAAACCAGTCGTGGCCCGGGCAGACATTTATAGTGAGTTATTGTGTGTAAGTTATTATTTTTATTACGACCGGTCACGGTATCCGAGCGGTCTAAGGCATGTACTCTCTTCGTTTGCTCGGAAGCAGGGATCGTGGGTTTGAATCCCACACAATTCATGGATGTTTTGTATGTGTGTTTATTCTGTATTCGTGCAGTCCTGTGTTTAGGTACAGACCTTGCGACGGGCTGGTCACTCGTCCAAGGAGTCCTACCGTCTGCAAAATGTAAAGTCTGTAAATTTATGGATTTCACGACGTACTGATCCTCTGTTCAGGAACTCGTATCAACTTCCCAGTATAATTCCAAAAATTCTCTGACTAAAGGAGATGAGGACTATATCAGACTGTAACTTCAAGCATGGCCTACTTCAAGTTACAGCCCTATCTACTCCTCTCCTCCTTTGATCAGGATTTTCGTTCTAACTGGCCTGCCTTTTGAGGATAATTATGCCTATTAATTTAGACATTCTCTGTCCTGTTTAATGCTTTGAAAACGATCTTTTAGTGAGATTAAACTTGATGACGGAACGGATCCGGTCTCCGAAACGTTGCGTGTGTGAGAACATTATGGACGATAGACAGTGTCTAAAATGATAGCCATGTTTACTGTTACACACCACTGTCAGAAAATGTAGACTTGATTTAATTTTCAGAATTCACCCTTTATCGCCCATCATCCTGATTATCAGTCCTCCGATAAAGCAGCTCTGATACTAAAGCAGTACGTTGAGTCCGCAGATGCTAATTCACTGGCCAGTAGAACACTTGTGATTCGTCCTTTATTGTAACATAATTTAAAATCGGACACAGCATTTTATATGTTCTGTGCTATAAGCAGGCCTACTTCATAAGCGAATTATGGGAAGTTCATATATGGCTGACATATTTCATTTCGGATACTGCTCAACGGATTTCGAAGAAATTCTGAATTATGGGTTTATGGATAAAGGTATCAGCGAATGTCATTGTAGTGGATCCTGTACACATATCTAGTATAACGCCCACTTTGCAAGCAACTTACATTGAACTTTATCCGGTTCTGCAAGAACTCGTTATTGTCCAAGAAAACTGATGCTTTATGTTGAAATACGTACGAGTATAAACCTTATTAAGAGCTGAAATAGTAGTACGAGTGTATTAATATATATATATATATATATAACAGGATGCAGAATCTAAATATTATTCACTGATAGCCTTATCATTCAACTATATATCATCTGGTTATTTAAAGCGTCATAAAATAATAATGGGTTTGATGCAAACCAGGAATACACAGTGAAACACATAGACATGCTGTAGGTTGGGTTTACAGAGTGTCTCGTCTTACAGGTCTCCATACCAGCACAGAAATCAATCAATTTCGAGGTGATTTATCTTGGCCGGTACTGTTGATGTTCACAGCACGTGGGCTGCGACGGAGTTGTGGGCTCCGCCAAGCGGGTTGATGCGTGCGGCGTCTGCGGAGGGGACAACAGCACCTGCCGCGTCGTGTCCGGGCTCTTCACGCGACCTCAGCTCCCCGTAGGGTACAATATCATCGCCCAGATCCCGCGCGGTGCATGCAACATCACCATATCGGAGCTGAAGCAGAGCCGCAACTACTTGGGTGAGTGTTCATATGCCAGCAGGATCCTAGCCTAGTGTCGGAGTGCTACTGCAGTAACTTCTGTGCCAGTATCTGTCCAGCACTCGGCCACTGTATTGGACCCGGTCACTCTTTACAGTATCTGCTAGTACCCGGCTTGTATGTGACACCCTAGCATTGTTTGGAGTTCTGATGTTAGTGCTCTGTTGCTAACACCCGATACAGCGCCCGGCTTGTGTGACACCTTAGCATTGTAGGAGTTCTCATGTTAGTGCTTTATTGCTAACACCCGATACAGCGCCCGGCTTGTGTGACACCCTAGCATTGTTTGGAGTTCTCATGTTAGTGCTCTGTTGCTAACACCCGATACAGTGCCCGGCTTGTATGTGACACCCTAGAATTGTTGGAGTTCTCATGTTAGTGCTTTGTTGCTAACACCCATACAGCGCCCGACTTGTATATGATACCCTAGCATTGTTGGAGTTCTCATGTTAGTGCTCTGTTGCTAACACCCGATGCAGCGCCCGGCTTGTGTGACACCCTAGCATTGTTTGGAGTTCTCATGTTAGTGCTGTGTTGCTAACACCCGATACAGCTGATGTTTCTCAATGCAAGACACATTCTCCTTGGAAAATGATACGCAGTAACCCACATAATTGTTCTATGCTTGAAATTCTCCGAACATTTCTTATGTGTAACATTAACCTGAAAGTGATGTTATAATCCCGAATCATGTTTTCTAGTTGAATGTTCCTTAGTGAAGTAAAGATTTTGTGTTGATTGTCCATTGTGATCGTTGTACCCTAGCTCTGTACAAACACGATGCACTCTTATGACAGTGTTTTCTAATGCGATGTGATTTTGTCGCCTGTCTGCACGTATGGACCAGTGGTCCGCCGTGTTTCCTACGCCTCATAAAGTTTACCGTGTTTTTCACTGTACCATGTGATACAGCTTCAAAGTAGACGTGTAAGCGAGTCTCATAAGTCACGTGAGTTTCCGTCGCGGTGCTATGTAAGATATTCTTCATACCTTTTAGCAAGTTTCATAACTTCCGTGTTCTTAATTGTTACACTAAAATTAAATATGTGTATTGCAACGCTTTTCATAACACCATGTCATTTCTCCATGGTACTATACCCATACGATATCTCGTCCCTTTTAGCGGCTTTCATTTTTAGTCACCTTATTTTGAGAAACTAAATTCAGGCTTATGAGATCACCATGCTCTCTGTGTATCTGTGGGTTCTCCCCCCCCCCATAAATTTTTAAATGGCTAAACCATTACAGAGTAGATAATGAAAAGTTCAGTCCAGTGTGACATACGAGTTTACAACACTTCAGTACAAACGACACAGCACGCATGTAAACTACACTCTAATAATAAGAACCTAATACCAAGAGAAATAAACGACATCTCCCACCATCAGGAGGAAAACAACATGACCCAATGTCGGCTCAAGATATTTTAATATAATAACTAATTGTTTACATGGAAATTTTAATACAAATTTAAATACATTGAGAGTCTACTGTGTGGAAAAGTGAGCACCATATTGCGTGCAGTGCAAAACCCCAGTCAGAATAACCAGGAAATACACTAAAAGATTTTTTGAATTGTTTCATTTTGGTCCGTTACACTATTATACATAAAATCAATACAAAGTCCGTCGAGTGTAACAATGTTTTTTAGGTCACTTCTTTCTCACTCTTGCCTTACATGTTTCGGTTTTAGTAAAACCATCTTCAGAGGCACATGGTACTAACAAGAAAACACTGGCGTTGTTTAACTGTACACAGTATATATGCTGTGTGGGCACTGCTACAAATGTCGATGTGTAAAAGCACAACACTAGCTTGGAGTACTGAATGCACGTACAGAATGCACGTTCAACCTTCGCATTCCATCCGAAGTTGCCCTCGCGTTAAAACATCACTATTAAAATATTTAAAAAATATTTAAAAGTTTAAGACTTTTGAAGTAAAATATAAAAATGTTAGGCTGCTTCTTAATTTATCCCGATGTTGGGAGATGTCTTGAGGTTGTATTGGCTGCAAAGACATTGTATTACATTAGGTTTTATATATTTATATATATTGAATTTATTTTGTTTAGTGTTGTATTTGATCCTTGCTTACCTTGTAGTTGGATTATTCCTGTGCGTTGTGTGTTGTGTACTGCGGTGAGAGTTCTACGCCAGTGTTATTTAAAGCCTTGTGTGTTATGACGTGGTCGGGGGTGTGTTTATACAAGTAGTGATAAGGTCGAACATGCTGTTCTGGTTATTGATCTCCTTTGCCTGTTTCTGCTCATCTATTAATTTGTTATCCTTGTAGTGGCGGTAAATTTGGTATTCTTCCTTAATATTCATTAATTTGCCTTTCTTTGCTACTTCAATCAATTCCATGATTTGCGAAATTGGGCCATATTGATGTTGTCTATTTAAAATATGTTGAGCATAGGCGGAGTCATTTTTATTGAATCTTATACTTCTTATATGTTCATTATAGCGTGTTACTAATTTTCTGCCTGTTTGACCTATATACACTTGTTGGCACTCCTGGCAAGTCAATTTGTATATGCCGCTTTGTTCAAAGGGATTTGTGCTTTGTTTATGGTTTAGTATTTTACCTAATGTATGATTTACTTTAAAAGCTATTCTTACGTTCGTATTTTTGAATAGTTTCGTAATTTTCCTTGTGTAGCTTCCGTTATATGTGTAAGATACCCATTTCTGTTCTCTTCTTTCAATGGGGGCATTTGCTTTTTGTTGTTGAAATTTATGATACATTCGTGTGATGAGTTCCTTATTGTAACCATTGTTTTCCGCGATGCTAATAATTACGTTTAGTTCCGTATTCTTTGCTGCGTTATCCATAGGTAGGATGGATAATCTATGTAGCCAATTTTTGTATGTTGCCAATTTGTGTTCTTTGGGGTGGCAAGATTTATTGTTTATCGTTGTGTCTGTCGTTGTGGGTTTTCTAAATATCTCCAATCTTACTTGCCCGTGGTTGTTAGTTAGTTTTAAGTCTAGGTACGTTATTTGGTTATTTTCCTCTTCATTCAGTGTAAATTGCAAGTTTTTATTTTGCTTGTTGAATTGGTCTAAAATGTGTTGGGGTGTTATTTTTGATCGGTTATAAATCATAATTATATCATCTACGTATCTGTTATAGTAGATGATGCGTTTATCTTCTAGTAGAAGTTTTACATTTCTTTGTTCAAAATGTTGTAGAAATACTTCCGCCATTAAGCTTGATAAGGGGGAGCCCATGGCTACACCCGAGTTTGGTTTATAAAATTTATCATTGTATTGGAAGTAATTTTGATTCAAAATCATTTGGAGGATTGTAATGATTTCGTCTTTGCTAATTTTGTCTATATGGTTTTGGATAAGTAAATTGTTGGTTGTTGTTTTCTTGTTAGTACCATGTGCCTCTGAAGATGGTTTTACTAAAACCGAAACATGTAAGGCAAGAGTGAGAAAGAAGTGACCTAAAAAACATTGTTACACTCGACGGACTTTGTATTGATTTTACACTAAAAGATACTCATCATAAGTAAATCTACACTTCAAGAAGCGCCATTATGCGTGCCTAAGATAAACATCGGAACGAACCGTGATAACAAAATTTATATAGAGAGCATTAGTCATACCTAAAGTGCATATTGTTAGAATATCTTACGTGACAGTGTTTCCTTATCGTAGTGGTGCGCCTCTGAAGATGATTCTTTTGAATCAAAAGATGTAAGGTGAATGAGGACTGAAGTGTTGTAAACTCGTATGTCACACTGGACTGAATTTTTCATTATCTGCCCTGTAATTAATAGTGTGACGGACCAAAATGAGACAAGTTAAAATGGCTAAAGCATTCTTTACGAAACTTGGTACTGTAATGTGTATAGCTGTTCCTATGCAACGGCGGCAAGCTTGGCAGATATACCAGGGTCGTTTCTGGACAGCGGCTCGGTAAACACGTTCCCGCATCAACAGACTCGGACGCAACAATAAAAAGGCTGTGATTTTTATGTTGTCCGTGTCGAGATGTTATAAATAAGGGACAAGGCTAGGTTAAGTTCAGTTCTATACGGGAGGCTGTGAAGAAAAGAGTTAGCTGCAAGAGTGCTTAATTGGAAGTGCCGCTATGAAGGGAAGACTTTATGTGTGATATTAGGAGTGCGTAATTCAGTGAGACTGTTGTAGTCCCTATGTGAAAATCCGTTGCCAGGAGAAGTCTAATGTAGACTGTAATAGAGTCAGGACACTAGTCTGTGTGTAACATTGAACTGTAAAGTGTGGAAACAACGATAATGTTATAGTTATTTGTAATACGACATGGAAGTGGCCATTACACTCGTATCCTTTCACCAATCGAAACCTCGTCTGTAGTGCCACATACTGCATGACAGTATGTACTGTATATTATGACACGTAAGTCCATATCACCGCCGTACTTCATTTGTCTGTATGTTTATCCCCCTATCCTCGCTAGGCAGGGACACAGTAAAAACGTTACCGCGGTAACGGATACATACGCAACAATAGAAGAATTGTTGGAGACATTGTTTTCTATATGATTCGTGTCGTATCAAAGGATTAGTTCTTCCCAGAATTTCTTATTATTCTAGATGGTTAAAATGAAATGTTACACATGAAGAAAGCAGTCTTCTGGGATTTGGCACCGTGTATATGTGGTGTTAACCGACGTTTCGGAGGAGCGTCGGTTAACACCACATATACACGGTGCCAAATCCCAGAAGACTGCTTTCTTCATAGTCACCGCCGTGAAAGCCTCAAAGCTTACAAATGTTACACATGTTTTTCCCCATGATTCCTCTATGCAATTTAGCGTCACACTGAACTACGTTAGATGATTCTTGTTTCTTTTAGCTTGTTTCGTTAATTTTCGGATTCATGGCCTTTGCACCAAAATAGGATACACGTTTTCGAGCGTGTTGTATAGTACCACGCAATTCATCTATTACAGTGCACCTGTAACATATGCCTAACTAATCT